TCCAAATTGTCATATGTCCAAAATCTGGACGAAGTTAATACAGTCCTGAAAGGTAAAGCAAATCTGGAGACAATTGGACACCAAAATGAGGGCCATAGCTAGCCCTCTTTTCCTTTGAAGACATTTCAATTCTGTCCTGGGGGGAAAACTTGGACTAAATGAGAGTAATGGGGGAAGCCTCTATGTTGTTGCTGTATCAGACGGAAGCCCTCTTGAAATAGTAGTAATTCCCAGTTCAAAAGACTTTCACCCAAGTTCCGTGGCTGATAGGGATAAGACACAACTTTAACTGTGGTCACCAATATTTCTGGGGCCTTTCCAGCCTATGGAACCATTCATTCATGACCTTTTCCCAACTTCAATGTATAACAGCAGTATTTTGCTAGTTTCTGTCATTCCCTGCTTATAAGAAGAAGAATTTCTCTAGCAATACTTATACCGCATTCATCATAGAATTCTGGTGTATAAGGAGTGAGAACACAGTGGGTAGGAGATCTAGAATGGGAGGATAAGAGGCACTTGGTGATTCTATCTGTTATTTTAAAGTGGTGGACTCTCTCCACTTAATGACAAGGTTTATATAATGACGTAGAAATTGTCTGAAGTATGAAGGCAATGTTATAGCCATCTTTTTTTTAGATTTGATGAACTAACTGTAGTAGCCATAAATATGGTAACTATGCTGAGGCTGTATATGTATGTTAGTAATTAAGAGCAGTTTCTGAAACCAGGAACTGAAATTTAACCCTATCAAAGCCCATTGTTGTACCTGCTGGACAGGGTGGTGCACAACTTATAATCCCAACTCTCAGGAGGCTGAGACAGGAGGATTGCCATGAGTTAGAGGCCATCCTGCACTCATAGTGAGTTCAACACCAGCTCAAATTACATAGAGAGACCCTGTCTCAAGAAAAAACATTTTTTAAGCCCACAATGTACAAAGGTTCTGAGGAAACTGAACCAAAGAGGCTTCAAAGAGGCTGATGGCATTGGCTGCCATAACTGAGTTTGCACAAGCCACTCGGAATATGCTTACTCTTGGGTAATATAATTTAACAGGTCAGGGGAAGAATGATCCAATCACAAAATATTTCCTAACTGATTTGATACTTGGATTCCCTGCACTACTTGATTTGATACTTGGATTCCCACCACTAAACCCTATATATAAAGCCCTTCTCAACAAGACTACCTTATATATTTCTTTGCAAAAAGTAACCATTTGCAGAATATGTGGCTTAAAAATAACATGATGAAGGAGAAAGGAAGCTGCATCATCAAACGTAGGAGTAAGTTTTATAGATGTTCCTTACGCCTCTACTCCACAGACTGAAAAAGTATGCAGGAATTAGAGGCAAAGTTTATCTTCTCTTTGACCACCCTGCATTGTGGGAAATCTTACACTGCTTTATCTACTAAATACAGCAATGTTCTAATTTAATGTCTTGCTGTTTTAGAAATGTAAATATTACATCAACAGAAAATGAAATCTAAAGGATGAGTGGAGAATTCAAAAACCACATTTGTATTAAAATCCGAATTGCTATAATGCTGATAATCCTGCGAATTAACAATAATATGTAGGTCGTGTGCTTTTCATACTTTTATGTGTGGTGTCTTTTAAATTAAAGAGCTGAATCCAAAGTCATATAGGGCAGTGGAAAACAAATTACAACCTATAGCAAATCTCTATAAAGAAAAAATCATGGAAACCTGTGCCTAGAAAGGTAACTCCTTTTATCATACTCACTGGCCCTCCATGATACCTCATGGAAATATGTTCTTGTGCTACAAGGCAGAAGGATGGTGACATGATTGCTATCTCTGTGTGTGTGTGTGTGTGTGTGTGAGAGAGAGAGAGAGAGAGAGAGAGAGAGAGAGAGAGAGAGAGAGACAGAAAGGGAACTGGAAACAAAAAATCCTTCTATGAAGGGAGGAGATAAGTCAAGAAATTTGTATTTTCAAAAAATGAAAGCACAAACAAAATAATATATGTAGGATAAACACAGGGAAAGAAAAAGGATTTGGCACAAGTCTAATTATCCATCTTAGCAAAGAGAGATTCGGGTGGATTTGGGTAAACACAGGATAGTTTCAGACTGGAAAGTAAATAAGTGCATGGAGGTATTATACTAATCACATTTGTTCTAACATTGACCTTATAATAATTAAAAATTGATGCTTGCAACATAATACAGCTGTGTAATCATATTTAAACCTAATCATTTCATAGAGAGAGGAAAGTTGTACAAAAAGGTCAAAAACACTTTAATTTCATGACAGCAAATTTACTCTTTATTCCCAAAGTGAAAATGTCTAATTTCTAAAAGAGCAAACCAATAATTACTTATTATAAAGCTATTTTAGTCAATACTTAATTTCGCTATATTGATTAGTGTTTAGACATTTAAAATGTACCCTACAGCAAGAATACGTGTTTACAATACTCTTCTCCCTTCTGATGTTTGTAGGTATTAAGGTATCGATTTAAGACATGTCTCCAAAATGCCAAACTTAATAGTAATCATATAAAAAGGAGCTGGACTCTTCTAAAACTGGAATTTAATTTTAAAATATTTGAATATTGGTGACCCCTAATGATCTCTCTGGATCAAGATCTCTCTGTCTTCTATTACACACCTTCACGGTGAGTGTTCAATTACAAACTGCATTATGAGTGCTATCTCTCCCCAAAAGTAACAGAAAGAAAAAATATAAAAATAATCATCTCTACCACTCACAACTGGAACAAAATGTCTTCTCTTTATTTTGTGCACTTCTGGTAGTAAAATAAAGCCTGGGACATGATTTCCCCCTTAACTTGCGTTCTGTGTAACGTGGAGCACTTTGCAATAAAACAAAATGATGTTTCATCAGGATGTGACTGGGACTGCCAAGGCAATTTACAAACTTTCCATCATTAAGTCTGAGAACATCACTGTGAGACAGGTATTAATATAACACTTCCCTCCTGAGGAGTTCAATGCACTTTACATAACGTTACTTTATTAACTCCTTGAGCCAAGCAGAAAGGCTAAGATGTGTAACCATGTCCCTGTTCACATGCATGCATAAAAAGAAGATTCCACAGAGCCATGTGTTTTAAATTCATCTTTACTTCTAATTTGAAATTATTACTAAAGATAAGGCCAATTGGATTATTTGATGTATTTGGATCCTACTAATACTGATTTTTGCTGTTGTTCTTTCATGTTTTGGGACAAGGTCTCACTATGTAGTTCCAGCTGGCCTTCAACTTACTGTGGAGCCCAGGTTGGCCTTGAACTCACAACAATCGTCCTGTCTCAGCTTCTCGAATGCTAGGATTATAGGTGTACACCACCACGGCCAGTTTATTAAATAGTTTTCAACTTCAAAAACATGAATTTAGAATTAAACATTTAAAAGATAATTCATCTTAATTCTCAAGCAATCTTTTTTTTTTTTTTTTTTTTGGCTTTTCTCCAGTACCGGGAACCGAACTCACGACCTTGCGCTTGCCAGGCAGGCGTTTTGCTGCTGAGCTAAATCCCCAGCCCAGCAATCATTATTTTGAAGGTGGGAAATATTTGAGAATAGCAAACCACTTTGGACAAGCCCCATGACATCCTTAAATACTTAAGCAGGTGTTCCCACCCCAGAGACAACCTGAAGAGATAGAAAAGTGAAGGACAGAGGAATACCAACCCTATTTTTTTTTTTTTTTTTGGTACTAGGAATCAAACTCAGGACCTTGCGCTTGCCAGGCAGGCACTTGTGCCGCCAAGCTATATTCCCAGCCCGAGAAATACTACTAACATCTAATGGTGCTCACCAAGTGTCAGCCACTGTTTTAGGAATCTGTGTGTATCACCTCAATCCACGTGATAACCCTGTGTGGTGGGTAATATTATTATCACCATTTGACAGGCAAGGAGATGGCTCAGAAAGCTGAGCTTGCTCTGGGTCCCAGAGCTTCTGTGTGGCAGAGACAAGGTACAAATGCAAGGACGAGGGTTCCAGAACCCATGCTCTTAACCAATGTTCCAAAAAGGACAAGAAGTTGTCCCGTTTCCCTCACCCAAAACCTGACCCAACTTCCAACCCAATTCCACACTCAGAATGTTTGTCCCGTCCAGTTGCAAGCTTCCTCACCTCACTGTCAACCCCCCAGTCATCGTACAATAATCACTCAAGTTTAAATGCTACACTCATAACATGGAACACCGGTGTTAGCAGATGGTTACACGGAGGCAGCATAACAGCTTTATTTATTTTTTTGTACTGGAAATCTAACTCAGGACCTTGCGCTTCCTAGGCAGGGGCTTATGCCACTGAGCTATATCCCCGGCTGAGGCAGCATAATAGAGTGAGGGCAATAGCCTCAGTGCCAGAGGATAGGCCAGCACCAGGCAAGCTACTTCTACCCAGGCCGTTTAAAAGAGATAGTAGCCTACCTCCAGATGCTGTACTGAGAATTAGGTTCACGTGAAGTGTTTGACAAAGTTCCTTATCCATAGTAAGAACAGAAGCAGTTGCTACTCTAACTTGGTACAGATTGCTGTGAGCCTTTTCCCCAGCTGGCCCTCACTCTGGGTTCTGTGGGGTGCCCCTCTTTTCCTGTCTGATGCGTCCCACTCTTACTGTGCAGAGCACTTCTTTTCAGAGCGCTTTGTCTTCAGAAGCCCCTTCTTTTGTTCTTTTCTTCTTCTTTCACCTTAGGTAAACTAAGTTTTCATCTTCAAAACAAAAACTTGGTGCAGTATACAACTATCTTGATGCTTCCTCAGAACTGAAATTCAGACTTAGCCATCAAGATAGCACATCTCAATAGTGCTGTGAATTGAACTAAATTGTTTTTTTTTTTTTTAATCAAATAAGTGTTCTGGGAACTATGCATGATCTCCTTTCATTTTCAGAACAAAATTGTCAGGGCTGGGGATTTAGCCCAGTGGCAAAGCGCCTACCTGGCAAACGCAAGGTCGTGAGTTCGGTTCCCGGTACTGGAGAAAAATCAAAAAATAAAAGAACAAAATTGTCATTTCAGTTTTGTTAGGACCATTTTTGAATAGGACAATAAGGTTCAAGATTGCCAACAATCATTAGACAATTAATCAGTTACCTAGGTGCATTCCATAAAGCAGAATAAACAGTAACCAGCAAGCAAGGAAATTACTGGAAAAACTCCTCTCTGACTCATAAAGTTATAGAAATGAAAAGTTCCTAGACTACAGTTCACCTTGTTTGGCCTTTGCTGTAATTAGAGCAAAGCTCTGGCCAGAGACGGAAGTTAGAAAAGAGAAGAGAAAGAGGAAAAGTACTGCCTGAAAATACATCCCGTGTCCTGCTGCTTTTGTCCTTTGGCCATCCGAGGTACCAGAGGGAAGAGGCAGGCAGGTCCAGGGCAGGAGCCTCAGAGGTAACAACAGTTAGAGGCAAAATGGGTACGAAGGCTGCACCGAGGGGCAGGGCTAGGTGTAGGACTGAGGTTCTGTTCAGGAGATTTCCGTCAAATTCCTCACCTGCACCCCAACAGTGCATAGAGGTCAGCTTCTGGTCTATTCATAGAAATCTGCACAAAAAGAGAAAATACATTACATTAATCTTCACTGACCTCTTTCTTGATGGTTGCCCTACCCACATTCCCTAAATTAAAAATGTCTTAGTTATGCAAAGCACCTCTTGCTGAATTAGAACATTATGTCCTCTTATCCTCTACTAAATACAAAAGCAACATTTTTTTCATTTGCATAATAGTCTCCTGTATATAGCAAGACAATTATTTATCAGTCTCACTTCACAAATATGTTTCAGAACTGCTCATGATGCATTCGTCATGTCCATATTAGTGCAAATAAGATTTAGGTGAATCTTATTTGGCTACCATTGGCTACCATACAGCCTAAGACAGATGAGGGGGTAGATTCAAAGAAATCATATGTAAAGAGTGACACAGCTCAATGATAAGCATCCTGCTTACACAGAAAAGCAGTGAAAACCAATCCTTGAAAATGTATTCATATTACCAGTACATCATGCAAGATCTTGTGTTCCATTATCAATTAGCAGAAAACCAAACTAATCATCTCTCCCAGGTTTAGAATCTGTGCTCCCCAATAGCTCACCCAACTTTTCATAATTGTTAGATAAAGGCAGGACTTTTTGTTCTCTAACCTCAAGCACTCACATGATAAAACATCTAGAATAATGCTTAGACGTGCGAGCTCTTCATAAAGCCTCTTTGAGGGGGTGGTGGTTTCATTTCCCTTTTCTCTGGTCTCTGCAGACAGGAGAAAGGCTTAGACTGGAGCACAGTTAGAGATAAGAGGAAGTTGATGACGAATGGAGACAGGGCAGAGCTGAGGAAGAAAACTGTACTGGGACTCACTGAGCCCCAGTACAGTATGATCTGTTTAGAAGACACAGCCAGCCGCCAACAACATGTGAATGATAAAACAGAACTTGTCAAAGCAGACTCTCAGAAAATCTTCTGCTTCACTGCTGTCCACCGAGTCCCAGCCAGACAACTCCCAAATCAGTCCTTCTGCCTCCCTACCCCTGACTTCTGTCCCACGTTTCAATTTTACTAGCATAACTGGAAAATTGTATGCAGTGGTCAGATGGGACGTTCTTGCCCTGTGCCTCCCTCTGTCTGTCCTTCACAGCTTTCCTGCCCTGTGGATGCCATCTTTGCCAAGACCCGGAGGAAGACAGCCATAGTGACTCCTTGACACCTTCATGAGAGAAGTTATTGACATCAGCGAGGAAGGATGCTGTCTTGGGGCTGGGGATTTAGCTCAGCAGCAAAGCGCCTGCCTGGCAAGTGCAAGGTCGTGAGTTCGGTTCCCTGTACCGAAGAAAAACCAAAAAAAAAAAAAAAAAGCTACAGGGAAGGATGCTGTCTTGTCTCACAGATTCTCCAGCATCAAACCCGAACATATATGAAAAAGTCCTGATGACTGCCTGTCCAAGACCGAAGCTAAGAGCCTGGGAGAAAAGAAGGAACCCACTGAGGAAGGTAAGATGGTGACTGATTAACAGCTGGACTCTGGGAATGGAGCGGACTTGCTTCGTGTCCTCTGTAATAAAGGACTCAATAAAGGGATTAAATTTGGATACCCTGGCTGCACCTCAAACTTGAAATTTCTAAAATTAAACCTCCCCAAGAACCAGTTTCTGCTGACTTCCTTGTCTGTAAAGGGTACACTTGTTCTCTCCGGCTCCAAACATGAGTCATCTTGCCTTATCCTCACCCACCCCCACCATATCTAATTAAACATCAACTGGAATCTATTTTTTTCTTCAGCACTTTTTTGCAACTCTCTGCTGCTTTCTGTTCCTATTGCTTCATCTCTAATTAGTTTCGACCTCACACTTGGCTCTCTGACTGCAGCCCATGACCTCCACACACTCCGTCTAGCAGGTAGTTTCCACTCTGAGCTCTGCCTCGATTGGATCAATCCTTCGATTTCCCCCCTTGTCTGCTGAACAAAGTCCAACCTGCTTCAAATGCCCCTGAACTATCTCACAGCCTCAACGTCTGCATCCCCTCAGCCAGCCAGGGTAGCTGTGACCTTATTGTCACTGCATTGTCACTGTACTGCCTGAACTTTCACTATTTCTGCTTCCCAAAATGCAATGGATACATTGAGACATTCTAGTCATTCCCTGTACCCACACACACACACACACTTTGCATTGGTTAGAATGTCCTCTACTCTTGTAGGATGTACTATACCTTCACAGACTCCCCCACTAGAAATTGTTCTTGCTGTCAAAGAGCCTTCATTGTGAAGCAAACATATCACTCCGGGTTGTCATCATCATTCTTATTCCAAAACCTTATTTTCCCCATAAGACTCTACTTCTTGACAAGAAGCACAGTCCTGTTTGTCCCTCACACCCCTTGTCTCTCACACACTGCCTGCTCAGGAACTACAGCATTTTAGGTGAATAAACACGGAAGGATTCCAGAGATAGCCTTTTCAAGACCTCAGCAATTTCCAAGCTTTAGAATGCCACATATTCGCCCAAGGTACCTGTTCAGATATTTAGACACAAGACGGCTGTTCTGAGACTCAATTATATGTACTGTAAATGCTTTTGAAACCAAAATTCTGCCAGGAGTGATGGTGCGTGCCTATAATCCCAGCACTTGGGAGGCTGAGACAGGAGGCTCGCCTCGAGTTCAAGGCCAGCATGGGCTACGTAGTAAGTTCCAAATCAGCCTGAACTACGTAATGAGACCCTGTCTCAAAAAACAAAAAAAGTAAAACCAAAATTCTATCAGTTTCCATGGGAAAAGGTGCTACCTATGCAATTCAGTCTAACAGGTTGAGATAGATCCCACACTACACTATCTTCTGTTTTCAAAAACTTAGAATACTATACTTCACTTCAAAAATTGATGTCCTGCAAAAGTAATAATAAATTGATGTTCAATTACAATAATAAATTTGTGTGTCATCATACTAATAGACATCATTGAAGCTAAATATTATATTGTAAAGATCTCATGAGGTCAAATAAACCAAGCAGGATAATATTTCTGTTGATAGTGTCTAGTGAAAATTACTTGCATTCCAAGTAAAAAATAGTTCTCAAATATTTACCATAATGTACTAACAAAATGTGCCAAAATAACAGCCCATTTCCTTTCAGAAAGGTCTTGGCTGGGGTTGTTCCTAAAAGTTTGAATAACTTGTACTTTAAGGTTGTACAATAGTGGATAGCAGGAAGCAGGAAAATAAATGAACTTATGTTAGGATGGCCTGTTTTCTTTTTCTGTGTGCTCTCTGGCCCCTCAGGCTTTATTCCAACTCTTACTTCTCTGTGTGAAGTTCACTTGCTTCATTGCAACTACTTCCTGTCTGAGTGAAACTCACCTGTGTCTTGGAAGCCCTCCCACCAAGTCTTCTTCAGGCTCCCAATAGTTCTTAGGGAACACACTCTCCTTCGGGGAGCATTTCACACACACAAAGTAAACATAGACGAAAGCACAAGTGTCCTCCATCATGGACCCACTGGTTATCAGGCCTTGTAAGGGTAAAATGTCAGAAAGACATAGCTTTCAATAGAAAATCAAGAGGTGGGCCATGTACCCAGTTACTAGCACGAAAAGCCAGGTCATTTTCTGGAGAAGATAAGAAATTCATTTAATGGCACCTCCAGAAATGCAAAACTAAAATACAGATCCATAATCCCATCTCTCTACTTAAAAAATTAAGGAAAACTCTCCATGACCCTCACGGCACAGTGAGAATGTCCTCTGGTCTGGTGTGGAGCAGGACTCGATTTCACTTCCCAGTCCCAGAGGTGACCTCCAGTGCTGGGTTCTGAATGCGGCCTGTTGGTGCTAGAGGAATTCAGATAGGTCAGTGCAGGAAGACATGGCTATCTTTTCTAGAACCATCTTTTCTTTTCTGATCAGTAGACGTCCACACACAGGCAGAACCTAGTGGAGTTCTCCATGTGTTCTCATAGTCAGTTTTGTTATTATTCCAAACTGCTCACGGCTCCTTCTACTCATTTACATGCTCACTGGGTTACACGGATGCATAAGAGCTTTGTCAAGGGGTGATATCATAGTGAAATATCTGGGCTGGGCTTATGAAGTCATTTCTGTGTTCCATTTGATAATCATGCCTCCAAAGTTTTGATAACCTGGTTACAGTAATTTCTAAATAGTGGACAACCTTAGACACAGGGGTCCTTTCCTGAAGGCCATCAACATGTGTCCATTCCACAGAGAGAAAAACCCATGAAGGTATATACTGGTATATGTAAATGGAAGGGAGGGAGGGAGGGAGAGAGGAGAAGGGAGGAAGGAAGGGAGGGAGGGAAAGAAAGAGGGAGGGAGGGAGGAAGGAAGGAAGGAGGAGGGAGAGAAATAGGAGAAAGAGGAAAGGAGAAGGAAGGAGAAGGGAGGGGAGGGAAGGATGAAGGGAGGGAAGAGGAAGGGAGGGGGGAAAGGAAGGAAGGCGGGAGGGGAACTGAACTGAGCCAGGATGTTCACACTCTCTGCCACCCCACAGCATCTTTAACAGTATCTTTACCTTTCCTCATACTTCACACACAGAAAAAACAAGCAAAACTCCCTTGAGTCCCTAAATGACCTTTAAAATGATATTGTAATAGGAGTAAATACAAGAAATCTATGAATTTATAGAAAGTATTTTTCCTCATAGAATTTATACATGGATAATATGAATGATATCAACTTAGAATTTCAAATTATATTCTATTACAAAATTTTACTACAACTATGTAATGTGAAAAAAAGAATTTTGTTCCTTTATTTTTTTTTATTTTTTTTTATTTTAAAGATAAAAGGAGGGAAACATTAACAGACATACAACATTTTACAACACATCACAAGCACAATACAGACAATACAGAGTTACACACAAAGTGGTAGGGAATTAACAATGGTGGTTGTTTTACATATTGATATCTTCAAAGTGGCTTCTCATGAAAACAGATATAGACATGCAATACTGGTCAACCAAAGACTCATTGACAGTTTCTTTCAGCATAGAAATAGAAGACAGAAGAACAACCATGTTATCTATC